TTTGTTGTTATTGTTGTGTTTTTTTGCATGATAGTGTGTATGTGGCTTGTAGAATACTAATTAATTTTGAATTTTAATATAATTTTTTTGTTAAACGAGCTGAGCCCGAGCCGAGCCCGAGCTTTTAAAATCAAGACAAGCTCGAGCCCGAGCTGATCCCATAAACAAACGAGCCGAGCCCGAACAGCCTTAAGCTCGGCTCGGCTCGGCTCGGCTCGGCTCATTTGCAGCCCTAAACAATCCCTACAACTTGATTGTTTTGAGAGAAAATGGTAAGAGTATTATTATATGTAGGGTTAAGTAAAAAAAATATGTAGGGTTTATGCACTAAACTCATCACAGCTATACTACAATTTCCTTCAACGCCGAAGATTCCAAGCCACCAATTTGAATAATACCCTTTCGCAGCATCAAAACCCCCATTTACTTCTTCTCAATTTGAGTCCTCTCATTCGTTTCTCCTGCCTGACCATTATTCTCTCTCTCTAGACTCTATATCCATATATTTATTTTAGCCTGTAATCTGGAGAGAGATTTCTTTCTTTCTATATTTCTTTAGATCTTTAATGGTTACATCATCATCATCCTTCTTCAATTCAACTCCGTTTCATCTTCTCCATTCCATTCAATCTCATCTAGTCGTTGGTCGAGTTGGGTTTATCTCTCTACCCAAAAAGGCTACACCTTTATTTCTCTCTCTACAAACCCTATGGATATGCACCTGGAGAGAGAGAGCAATACAGAGCCCTGTGATGTTCAACGAATTAAACCCTCAAATAATATCAGAAATAGAAAAAAAAATTAAGTTAAATAACGAAAAAAAAAAAAAAAACCAAAAGACAATGTTAGAGAGAGGAGGAGAGAATGTTTAGAGAAAGAAAGAAAGGAGAGAGAGAGAATCCATTCATGTTAATGGGTGGCTTTTTTTTTCTTTTTTTTAATAAGGGATAAAAGAGTCATTTTACATAGCCTGTATTTATAATCATTAATCTATTCAAGAGGGTATTATCGTCTTTTTATATCACAAAGGGACCTATTTGTGCCAAATTGATAGTATGAGAGAGTTTTTTATTACACAAAGACCGATATGCACTATATCAATAGTAGAGAGAAATTTTTTGCACTTAACCCTTTATATTTAGGGCAAATTTCTCAAAACCCCCAAAACTATTAAAAAGTGATCATAAAACCCCAAACAGTTTTAAAAACTCCCAACAATATAATAACTTTATCATTTTAAAGGTATGTGAAATGACTAAATTACCCTTATTATATTCCCTTTTATTTAAAAATCAAAAAAATCATATTTTTGATGGGGATGGCAACCTCTTCGGCCACGTCACCCACATCACTCCCTCTTCCTTCTTCGACGACCCCGCCACCATCGCCGACACCGCCACCACCTCCTCCAACCCCCCCACCCTCCTTATACATAATCAAACTAACCAGAAATTTGCTATAGATTCTTAAAATTAGCAAAGAGTTATGATATATTTAATTTCTTGAAGTAACGATTTTTATCTCACCACTGTGTTCATAGCCATAATGTTCCCATTACATAAATCTATTGATTGTATACAGTTGCATCAAGGTATCATCAATCTGTCAGATGGTAATCAGTAGATCAAATTGCTTGACAATTCCACTCTTTCCCCCATAAAGTCCTTGATAAAAACAATTTGTCAGTCAAAATGTGGTTAATTTAATTAAAATCTCAGTGGGAACCATAAATTAGAACAAATATCTCTCTTCTATTTCTGCCAGTTTTAGAGGAGTAGAAAGTTCGACATCCAGGAAGGAGGGAGCTGTTTCTGGTTCATCTCCTAGTTACATGATTACAGTTTCATAGCTGACAAAATAAGAAAATTATTCCTGTAGAAACTAACGAGAACTAAGAAGCCAACCTTTTGCCGCACTCATTTGAAATAAACAATGTCTTCCACTCCTACAATATATTTAATATAATTGGTGTTTCATGATGATGGTTTCCACTGCTACCCTATGGAAGATCCACATAGAAATCAATATCTATATAGATAGCCAACCACCTAAATCAATACTGTATCGAATGACTGGAAACCTAACATGTATGTGATAGCCATTCTCCTGCTAAACCTTTGCACTTATTAGCTGCCTTCGTATTCAAACCATGAGAGACTCAAAAGCCCACATTTTCACTTGCCATCTCGAATTATTACCACTACTACACCAAGCAATAGCTACTATGTGACAAATATTCGCCATTAACTATAGGAAAACATTGATTCTTAATTTCTAACATGCAATTTCACTAGAAAAGATTGTTTCATCAGATCTTCTAGATCTTTGCTACTAGACTTAATAGTCAAATCGAATGAAAACCATGATAACTTCAGGGCAAGCTAGATCATATTAACAAACAATTAATAATAACAGCAACCAACAACACGAATAAGGCACATCATTAGAAAAACAAAAACTAATCCTTTGAAATCAAGTTCAATATATACTCAAAAGAGCAGAGTTCATATAATATACATAATCAAACTAACCAGAAATTTTCAGCAAACCTCGAAACAGTTTCATCGAGCTTCGAGATACCCGCGAACTTTTCAGCAGCAAGCTCCAAAATTTCACCGAATAGTTCCGGTGACTGCAACCAACTTCACCGGTGAGCATGCGTAACTGCGACGACGGTGCGACGCTCCATTGCTACAATATAGTCGCCATGACGGTGCAGCACTCCACGGCCATGAAGAAGGCTTCAATCTCACGAACTCAGCTTTGGTCAATGTAGAACCGTGCAAGTCTTGGAACTCTGTTGTGTCGCCGTCACCTTCACCGTCGTTTCAGTTTTAGGAGCTCGCTGTTGGGTTTTTGCAATGGTGGGCCAAGGTAGCGTGGACATGCACATTGTCGGACTGAAGTGGGTTTCGCGGAAAAGAAATGCACCGGACTGAAATGGATTTCGCGGACATCCTAAACCCATGACTGAACCCATAACCAGCTACCTCATCCTAGACTAATGGAGGAGAGAAGATGAACTAAAACGATGACACTGTGGGTGTGTTTTTACTATTACAAGGGGTATTTTCGGTATAATACATTTAAATACACATTACTTGTTTGGCACATGTGACAATAAGGGCATTATGGGGGTTTTATAAAAAAACTGGTCAAAATAGATAGTTAGGGGATAATTTGCTCAAAATATTAATAATACAGGGATTATATGCACTTAATTTTTAGTGGGGGTGTTTTTTGCACATTTTTTGTATAGCAAGGGAGTTTTTTGCACTTAACTCATACCAAAATAGCATTCCTAAATCAAATAATTATTTTATTCATGACATTTAGAAAAACAATATTTTTTAGTTGACGTTTAACTTGGCATTTTTGCATATGGTGTATATAAATAAAATAAAAAATAACATATATATATTATATAAATTTTGTAAAAAAAAAAAAAACTTGAATGTATCTCTTAATCTATATTGCTCAAACTAGTAAATGTCAACTTAGAAATATACAAATAATTTTGTGAAAATTCATTATATATATAAATTTTTTTTGGGTAAGTGGAAATTCATCATATATATATATATATATATATATATATATATATATAATTTTATGTGCACATAACTTTAATAATATCTCATAATTCATACCAATATAAACTTGCAAATGTGAAAAACTTTTCTATAAAAATATATATAGATAATACATAAACGCATACAGTATACACGCGGGAGAGGGAGATTATGAAAAAACTTGCTTCAATAAATGGTACATCGGTAATTATTTTTTTATTTATTTATAAAATAAGTGTAATTAATTGAGCAAAATTATTGATGATCATCTCAAGACGTGTACCATAGCAAAGAAGATTTATATATTATTGAGTTTAATTATATTTTTCTATTTGGGGACTTACCTTTGATCGCCCCATTTTTTTCTATATTAAATCTTTTTTTATTATTTGTATTATCGTGTGTATATATGAAAGTTGCAACAATATGGTTCAAAGTTAAAGGAAAAATCTTGTTTTCCTAAAATTTTAAGGTAAAAAAATTATTTTAAGAAAGTACTTGATTTAAGGAAAATAATTTTTAGTATTTTTGAATAACTGTTTGGAAGATATTTTGTACTTAAACAATAATTATTGATGTACATGTAATTATTTTACTTGATTGAACCAAAGTGAAAAATAAAATTTTAAAATATACCATTTTTAAGTTAAGGCTCCTAACTCTGTGCAGGTGTAATTTTCCCAATTTTTAATGTTTCACAGAGTAATTATGTAAAAAAATATATTTGCTGAATGGACAAAATGATTAGTGCCATGAAACTTGCCCTCTCCATCTACTAATCTAAGATATTTGAAAAAGAAAGAAAAAAGAAAAAGAAAAAAAGGGGGACAAAATGATACTAAACCTTTACCAATTTAGTAAAGTTTTTGAAGTTTAAGAGGTTATTTGTGAGTACACGTCATTTTTATGTTTTTCTTTTCTTTGCATACTGGCAATAAACTCATGCATCTGGTCTTTTAGAATCTCCAATATTCTACTAATAATATGAATAAGTACTATTACAATGCTTGGCATTATCAGGGTTCTTAAATATAATACATGTTAATTTAAAACACTTTTATTACTAATTTTATAATAACATCTTTTAATAGAATTTGTTATGATAGTAAAAACTTTATAAAAGTGACAAAATAAAAAATAAGAAAAGATAAAATTATTCAAGAAAAAAAATTTACTGAAAATATCTCTACTCAGAATATAATTTTAAACAATTCAAAAGCTTTACCGAATTTTAGCTTAAAATATTTTTAATAATTTGTAAAACATATAAACACAATTCTTTAAAATAAAAAGGCAGTAGATACACCTAAACATAGATACAACGTTACATAGTACGGAGTATCTTGTTCCTTAAAGTCCACATGATGGACGATGATTAGGGCCTGGACTGGTGCGACATCTTAATTGCGTCAACTACAATCCCAGCCATATGTCTCGCCTTGAAAAACATTTTCTTTTGTCTTCAAATCAAACACTCTCCGTCTAATCTATGTATTCATCAAAATAGTAATAGCATTAAAAATAAAAAAAATTAAAGACCCACTTTAGCTTTCCTCAATCAACAAACAAAGCATCTCTCTGTGTATTATTCACACCCTTCTCTCTCTATATATATCTATATATAATTTGACTTAACCCTAAAACCCCATATTTCTCCCACTCATTGTCTCTCTCATTCGATCTGCTTTCTCTCTCTAGGTGCGTCTGTGTGTGTGAGTCCTCGCCGATTCAGCCATGGATGAAGAATACGACGTGGTAGTGCTGGGCACGGGTCTCAAAGAATGCATCCTCAGTGGGCTTCTCTCCGTTGACGGTCTCAAGGTCTTGCTTCTTGTTTTCGGAACGTGATAAATAATAATTTATTGTTCAAAATTTTGCCTCTTCTTCTTGTTAATATCTTGCTTGAATCGGACAATGATTCTTATACGGTTATTATTTCCAGATTGAGATTGGTTTCTGTTACTACTTCTTTCGATCTTGATGGATCTGGAATGCTCAAAATCAAAATCATCTTCTGTATAATGAAAATTTTTATAATCAAAGATTCGTTTTTTTTTAATTATGATTTTTTATTATTTATTGCTCTATTGTATACCTAAGATTTTTCCAAATTGATATTGCAATTCTGCATTTTATTCTGAATTTTAAAGTGGGTTACTTGTCTTATTTATTTATTTATTTTTAATTTTTGGTTAATAAGCTTAAAGTGGGTTATTTTTTGATTTGACAGTCAGCAATATACTGAATGATTCGCACCCCACTGTCTGCACAACCTCCACACACACACTCGCATCCGGTGATTTAGATTAGCAAATTATATACTTCTATGTATGTGTATATGCATGTGAAGTAAAGTTTTGGGACTTGGGAAGCTAGGTCTTCTCATCAATATTTGGATATAATTAATTTAGCTAAATCAGCAGTTTGGTACTAAATGTATTGGAATATGCTAAGCAACGAAATAGGTCAACAACACTTGTTCCATTCTGGCCACTTTTGATTTGATGATGTATTGGCTAACACCACACACTCACACACGTATTTATGCACGTATGATCTGTGTATATTGCTTGTGGGCAAGTGCACGTGTAATTTATCTTTTTTCTTCATAAGAATATATTTCCCATTTTCTAAGGAAAATGGTGTATGTTTAGATATCTATAAATACTTATCACGGTTTCAGGATTTTATACTTTAATGACGACGAAGAGGTTAATTGAAACAGGTAAAAGTCGTATATTATTAAGTGAGATTTAGCATGACTCTATCTTTCCATGGCACAATTTTGAAACTGATTTCGTTTTCACATTATATAATGTGCCGGATAGGGATCAAAAGTTTTGGATATGATTCTGCAAATGAATCATTTTCACAATTTATTGCGTGTTGGAGAGAGCTCAACAGATGATATTTGAGAGAAGGAATGGTTTTCTTCCACTATTCACAAGAACCAAAATGGTGGTAGAGTTGTAAATTATGAAGTAATTTCCTGTTGAAGAGTGAGCAAGAGAGGTTCCGGAAGCGGGCAGTCTTTTCTTGGTTGTGTAGTTCTTCACATATGACTCTGCACCATGTAATGATTTTACAAACAAACATGATAACTGGTATAGATCAACGAGGTGGCAAATGGTGCTAAATGATGATCTAATATCAAGCATGAATCTCTAGGTTATTAATTAGGAATTGTTAATTTATTTGTTGTTGAGTTGGTTCATTCTTTTACATGATCCTAGGTCTGGACAAGTTGATAGGATTGAAGAATAGTTGACGTTGAATCTAAAGGATCTATTACTAGATGGATACCTTTGGCAGCTAATCCTCTTGATAGTACAATAGTAGCATCTAAATGTGCAAATGTCGTAGTGGAAGCTGCCATTGAAAGACTCTATTGAGACAAGGATGGGCTATCGATAACGTAGAGGAAGTAGGTTGGGCAGTTGGTCAGATCTAGTATGGATCGTACATGGATGATAATTGGAGTCGGCGGTTCCATGTGGTAATGTATGCGTATTGGTACCTTCTTTAGGACCGATTGCTTCTGATTTGCGTTCATATGTTTGGAGAAGCCTTCTAAACATCTTACCCAGTGTGATTATATCTATCGGCTCATACTTTCCTATCGTCCTTAGGTGCTACAAGGATTAAAGTTTATGGATGTCAAAAAATCATCTTCAAGTATACTGGAGAACTTGCAAAGAAAGAGTGAGAACCCAGACATAGGTTAATGTCTGCCTTAGGTTCACAAATGCTAAATGAAGGAACTGAGTTCAAAATCTCAAGTTATATGGATTTTTCCCAGAGTGCTTGTTATGTAGCAGAACTTTTTGTCCTGTCATTTTGAGTTTGAATATTAATTTTGGATTGATGAAAGGAGATTGAGGCCATCAGATGTTATCCTTAGAATTTAGGAGTTATGGAAAGATTCATTTAGCTTACTGTTATTTTTGATGTGGTAGCTCATGAGCTCTGCTGAGAGGATCTTTGTTTCCAATCGTCAGCTCCTCCCTTTGAGGGTGGTCTATCATTATGGCAAAGTTGTCTGATAGAGTTGGAGCTCTGTGCCTCTGTCATTAAGCTCCTTTCAACACTGGCTTGCGTTGTCCTCTGGTTCTTTTTGCTTAGTAGCTCCCTTTCTTTCCTTGTCTGGTTGGGCTGATAATTTCTCATTACAAAAATTTCATTCTATTCTTTGCTTCTGTTGGCCTCGTTCTTATGGTTGCCTTTTTGATCTTACCCTTCTATTTAATCTATTAGATGCTATTTCTCAATCTAAATTTTAGTTTGTATGTTGCATTTGGTGTTGGATTTGGGTGGACCTTCTACATGTTTAGAGGGAGTTATAAAAATTAACCAAAAACTTGTTACTTTGTCTTCTATTTTCTTCTCTTTTTAATTTGGGGCCACGAGTATGTCATCTATGCAATATGATCTATTGCTACAACCCAAATTATGTTTAAGTTTTTTTCTTATTCAACATGCTAAACACATTACATATATTTGTTTTGGTTTTTTGTTTTTTGTTTTGTTTTTGTTTTGTTTTTGGTATAAAGAATATATTTAAATAACCCAAGAACCTTATCCGATCAGCTATTGGATCACTAATACTGCCCGTGTGGTGAACCAGGTTCTGCACATGGATAGGAATGACTATTATGGAGGAGAGTCGACTTCACTCAATCTCATTCAGGTTTATAACCTTAACTTTTATACAAGATATGTGACAACTATTTCAATTTCTTATTAATGTTCTATTTGTCTTGACAAATCTATTAATTTACAGCTCTGGAAGAAGTTTAAGGGAAATGATAAACCTCCAGCACATTTGGGTTCTAGCAGGGATTATAATGTGGACATGATCCCGAAGGTTTCTATCTTTTCTACTCTATTGCATCCTTTACGATGGACCATCTTTGCGGTTTTTTTTGTTTGTTTGTTTGTTTGTTTCTTGACTTTCATGATTTTCCAACTTATATATATATATAGTTTATGATGGCAAATGGTACCCTTGTACGCGTCCTCATTCACACTGATGTTACAAAATATTTGTCCTTCAAAGCAGTAGATGGCGGCTATGTCTACAATAAAGGAAAGGTATAATAAATTTTTATATTTTAGTTTTTTTTTTTACTCGGTACTAGAAGTTGTTTTCAGCTTGTTACCCAGATGTTATATTCATAATTTATCATCTCTTGTAATAAACTTTATGCAATAGGTACACAAGGTGCCGGCAACTGACATGGAGGCACTAAAATCTCCTCTAATGGGCATCTTTGAGAAGCGCCGTGCTCGCAAATTCTTTATATACGTCCAAGATTATGATGAAAGTGATCCCAAAACACACGAGGGAATGGATCTTACTAGAGTGAAAACGAGAGAGCTTATTGCGTACGCTCTTGATCTTTACTTTTGTTTTGCTCCAGATATCTCTCAAGGAGATTCAGTGAAAAGACAGTCTACGTATTTTTGTTTTTGTTTGTCGGTTTGGGCTTTTCACTGGTTACTTTTTTGTTGGCATGTATTTCATAGGTGTGGTGGCACATTGGGGTCTCATTAAGTTTGAAAAATAGAGCGTGACTTGAAGCTCAATATATGCAAGATTAGATTAGTTTAGTACACCCAATACTTGTGAAGGAGCACGTATGTTACATTGATACCTAAACAGGTCATTATGGTTAAAAACTGTAGTTATACAAACTGGTTAATATACTCAAAAGACATGTAAAATCTACAAATTTGCTTTATTCATCTATAGTAATATGTGCTAGTTATTAGACTCAAATAATACTAAAATTATTAGATTCCTTTAGAGTTAGCTTGCAGGTAGATCAAATTATTTTGATTTGTAAGGTTAGAATTATTATATTTTGGTTTGTATCTATAGCTCTTGAATTCGAAATATTACAGGACCTTAAGGATTTAGCATCGACGAGGAGATATTCGAGAACTTTTTAAAGTGATATCCGTTAAGAGTGCATAGACAGGTACAGCTCATACATTACAAAAGAATCATGCAGAGGGGTGATGTAGATGAATAATTTGCCCTTCAACAGTATGTTATACCAAGCTGTGTGGAAAGCTTCTTTGTATGCCTATTTATATAGTTCACTTGTTGAACACATTCCTGCCACCTCATCCACTTCCATTCATTTTTCCTGCTTCACTCTCCCCTCCTACCAAACAGATTAATAGATTCTTAAGCCTTGCAGCTTGTCCCACTACTATAATCCTCAATGATTTGGGCATAATCCAAGTTCGTCCAAATCATCCCCATTAGGATGACCCAATTTGAAGATAAGAAAGGACTTTGGATCACACCATTGATGGACTTAAAATTTGATTCTGTGCTACTTATCAAAAAAATTAAAAAAAAAAAATGATTCTTTGCTGTGCCTGTATGGGCAGTTTTTTTATTTTATTATTATTATTTCAGTTAATAATTTATATTCATAATTGCTGTCCTCGCAAAACAATGCTGGTCCTGATGGAATATACTAGAAAGTTTTGAAAAAAATAGCTGATAGTTGGAAAGGGGGATTCATCCATTCAATGATCAATAATCAATGTAAGATGATATAGCCATTTTGACAACATTTCTTATGAAAGAGTAGGTGGCACTAGTTTGCCCGTATTCTTGGTAGGTTTTTACATGACTAAGTATATTTTAAATTTGTGGACACATCTATGAAATGTCTAACATGTGTCTAAGATTGTCAATGAAGTGTTTGTATCTTGTACGTGCCCGACACTGACACAACATCTTGATAGAAGTGTTTCTGCTTCTTAGTCTGCACAAATGATACCAGAATATGGCTTTTGTTCCATCAACATACTGATCCTTGTTACAAAAATTTGATGTCGCCCTTTAAAATGCTCAAGCTAGAAGTGTTACGTTAAATTTGTATTTTGTTTTACCCCAAGCAAGATGTGATATAATATGGATATTTACTTATGTTTAAAAACTACTCTGATTTGGGTAAATTTGGTATGCACTACGTGTCCAAATCATGTTTTGATTGGATTTCATATTTGAACCTATGTATTAAACTTTGAATTTGGGTTTATATTCACCTGGATAACTAGATCTCATCCATTTTCAGAAGCTGCTATTTCTACTCAACCAGGGTCTTATCCTTTGTCAGGGAATGCTTATAATTTTTTCTTTCTCACCATTCTACTCAACGTGGTCTTTTTTTTGTTTTTTGTTTTTTGTGGATAAGTACCATCGATGACCCTTTCTTGTGTTGTAAGTAAAATAGTTTGATGCTTAGAGTTAAAGGTTGGTTATCAATATTAAATTAGTGAAATTAGAGGTCTTTAGACGAAATAAAATGTCCCCTGTAACTTGTCAACCCTGCAAAGGTTTAGGGTGTTTTATTTGATAAAAAATTTTGGGGCTCTATTGCGGTTTTTGATCTTTGAGAACTTGTGGTTAATTTTAGTAAGGAAAACTGGACAGCGACTATAGTTCTAAAAGCCCTCTAAGGGCCAATGTTCCAGCGAACTGTAATATTTTACTCTCTGGTTCATAATCTGGCTTCTCACTGAATATGATAAGTGAGAATTAATTTGAAAATTTCCATGTGAGTTATGAGATGTTATTATTTTGCTTTGCTGTTTCTGTGTTAAGTGTGAATTTTTAATGGTAATCAAGAAGCTCTACCCTGGCCCTTCATATGGTATGGGAAATATAGGTAGTTAACTGGAGGAAGGATAGTAAAAGATAAGGAAAGAACAAAGACAGAATCATATTATCCTTTTGGTTGCCTGAATGTTGTGGAAAGACGAAATAAATTTACAACAATTTATGATGGCGCTGGACCTCCAAACTGTTGGCTAAACTCCTAGTTCATTTCCCTCTTGATGTCTCCTTCGCATTCTTGAAGTGAAAAGGTGCGTTAAAATAGTCCATACATAATTTATTGCATTTGGACTAGAAATTATGTGATGCAGATGGTGTCTGTACTTTTCAAAACAACCTCAACATTGATGTCTGAGCAAAACATGTTGTAATCTGTCTCATGATCATTTGGTGAATTGCTACTCCGTTGAGTTGATTAGGATAGCTCAATATGAAAGTCTATAATGGGAAAGATGCATGGACTAATTTTCAAGGAAGATACAAAAGAACTGTGTACTCTGGGAATGCTAGTTCTAAGAACTTGATTAAGGGACTTCGTTTCATTTTATAGCAGTTAAAAGAAACTATCAAGTTGGAAGGGCACTATTTTCCAATTTTTTACAATAACATGCCTGTGATATGATGTCTACAGGGTTTTCCCTCAAGTGAAGACAGCCGTGATGTTGCCTTGGCTGTTTGAATTGGAAATTGAGTGTTCATCTCCGTTAAATTTGGTGTTTGTAGCAGATGACTATTCCTGTGCAAGTGATTTGTACTTGTGTTAGGATGCTATTGCATGTGAAACTCTATGTGGTTATCATTAGGAGTAAGCTGTACAACATGCTTATTGCGTGGAATATGCACAACTGTTTTACATATCCTCAAGCGTGTTTAACTAATAATAGTATTAATTACTGATTCTGCTTGAGTTCTCCATAGTAATATTTGCATCTCTTGTTTATTTATTTATTAATTATTATTATCTAATCAAGTATAACTAACAATAGCCTCTGCTGCTTTTGCCCTGTCACTAGTATTAATTGCTGTGAATTTATCCAGCAATCAAGCTAATTCTGTACCTTCAATTTTTTGACAGAAAATATGGTCTTGATGACAACACTGTGGACTTTATTGGTCATGCATTGGCGCTTCACAGAGACGACCGCTATTTAGATGAACCTGCATTAGATACTGTGAAGAGAATGAAGGTGAAAAATGCACAGGATCCATATTTTATTCCCTTTTTACTTGGTTTTGTTCTCTTATAAGGTTTAAATTTCGTGTGAACTTGTCTGAAAACATTTGCTTCTTATTGTGCCATAGCTATATGCAGAGTCTCTTGCACGGTTTCAAGGAGGATCTCCGTACATTTACCCCTTGTACGGATTAGGAGAGCTCCCTCAGGTTCTGTCTTTTCTATTTTTATCCACTACCCTCTCTATTTTTTTTTCTCTCTCTCTCTCTCCTCGTCCTCCTTTTCACCTTTGTTTTTTTGTTCGTTCTTTCGTGTTATTTGATCTTTTTCATGACCTGTTTCTGATATGAAAGTTTGGCTCTTTAGTTTGACTATGTTGATTTGTTTCATTTAGGCTTTTGCTCGGCTCAGTGCTGTTTATGGTGGGACTTACATGTTGAATAAACCTGAGTGCAAGGTACTTCTTTGTTTTGTGTCTCAGTTTTAAAGGTCATTTTCCTTATATTGATCTTTCAATTGGATAGGGGAATACATAAATTCTTATCATGAGGCTTGATGCTTGCTCAAATTCCAGGTAGAGTTCGACGAGGAAGGCAAGGTTATTGGTGTCACATCAGAAGGGGAAACTGCTAAGTGCAAGAAAGTTGTTTGTGATCCTTCCTACTTGCCCAACAAGGTACTTATTTCTCTTAGCCTTTTAGATTCATTTCAGATTGCAGTTGGTGGTTGACTTTATGCTTGGTGGAGCTTCTGGGTTTTGGTTCGGTCATAGTATTTATGCCTGAACTGAAAATATGTTATGTATATAATACATCTTCAGAAGCCTACTGAGTTTGTAGTTATTCAACGCTTTTAAAATTAGAGAAGAATATGTAATCTGAACATGCGAAGTATGGTGTATGACAGGTCAGGAAGGTTGGCAGGGTCGCAAGAGCAATTTGCATTATGAGCCACCCAATTCCAAACACCAATGATTCTCACTCAGTGCAGGTTATTCTGCCGCAGAAGCAGTTGGGTCGCAAGTCAGATATGTGAGTTCTCATCCAACATCTTCGAGAGATTCCATCTCTCTGGTTTCTTGAGTTACAGGAATACATATTTTCTTTATGCTTTTTGGTTCAGATTAGCTGGGAGATTTCCCAGTAGGATTTAATCTGAATCTTCTTGTTGGGAGACATTGAGATCTGAGGCAAAGCCAACCAGTCAAGAGGAATAACTCCATTATTCTCTGGGTTTCTTATATTTATTTGGAATGGGGATCCGCATTACAATTGTTTTTTTTTTTTTAAAAAAAAAAAAAAAAAAGTTTACCTGCCAAATGCTAAGAAAGTATTCAAAAGATATTCACTTGTAGCCAGAGTGTAGAAAGACAAGGTTTATGGTTGTTATGACCCATAAAATGATTAAACAACTGTCCAATTTTTAAAATCAGTTCACTAATGTAGTGTCTAGGTTTCTCATGGCAATTGGAACATGTCATGCATAGTTTTTGAATTGAGTTCATAGTGTCTTTGTTGTGGCATTAGTGATCTCATCCATTTATATTTGTTTTATAATTGTAAAAAAAATATTTAAAATTCGAATGACCTTTTTATTCAGTTTTGGTATTTTCGTGATCATGATGATGGTTTTAGTTCTTATGTCCAACCTTTCTATTGGGTGGGTGACAGAGACACTTCTAAATGGCTTTGTGGTCATTTCACATATTTTGTAACAGTGGAAGAGAGAGAGAGAGAGAGAGAGAGAGAGAGAGAGAGAGAGAGAGAGGTGTTTTATTTAATGGCTTTCGTTTATTTTGTAGTTTTTTCCCCTTCACAATGTAAACACAGGGAAGACCAGCATTAGGTAATAGCCACCCTATACCCTTGTATGACAGTCTATGGCATCATCAATTTCAGTAAAACTAAAATCTAATAATAGAATAGTTCCCCATTAGGAATATATTAAAAATGGATAAAATGGCAAATGGAGGAAAAAATACTATAAATTAAGAAGCATAGGCATAGTACGTGCCTCTCCTCGTACTTTTCTTAATTGTCTTAACTTGGTGTACAAGTGACTAATTTCTAACATTTGAGGTTTTAGATGTCAACTAGTCATTTATCTTATGTGATACCTCTGAGGTTCTGGCCTTTCTGCAGGTATCTCTTTTGTTGTTCTTATTCACACAATGTTGCCCCAAAGGGGAAATTCATTGCATTTGTATCAACGGAGGCGGAGACTGATCATCCAGAGACTGAACTAAAGCCGGGAATTGATCTTCTAGGGCCCGTGGACGAGATATTCTTTGATATCTATGACAGATATGAACCGGTTAATGAGCCTTCTCTGGATAATTGTTTTATATCAAATGTGAGTTTCTCTTAAATGCCATTATTGAATGCTGTATCTACCTTGAAGCTTTCACTTTGTTGATGAGTAATACCTCCTTTATTATGTTCAACAGAGCTATGATGCCACAACTCACTTTGAGTCAACTGTCATCGATGTGCTCAATATGTATTCCTTGATAACTGGGAAGGTATAAATTGTGTTTTGCATTTGAAATTTGTTACCCTGGTTCAATACTTCAAACATTCTTTCAACTAGCTTTGTGGCTTGATTCATGTTTTTGATAACGTAAATTATTGTGCTGTTATAACGTTTGATGAGTACGTGAAAGCACCTCAACAGCATTGCATTATAAGGGGGAGGAGCCATATCAATATATCGTTCACTGCTATATCTGCTGGTGTTGACTTTTAAATTTAAAAATGTTAATGTTCTAAACGCTTTGGAACATCATAAATGATAAAATAGAAAATGAAACAACAGGAACATACGGTACAGTTTTATTAGTGAAATAAGTGATAGACACAAGTATAACAGTAAATAACAGCCAAACAACCACTTAACATAGGAAGAAGTCAGTAGTACGACCCGTAGCTTCAATCTGGTTGTCTGATTTTATATTATACATTCTAAGCATGCATCATGGATGTACAATTTCAATGTCCAGTGAACTCTTATTTCAGACATAGTTTAACTAGTAAGATGGGATGATGCAATTGTCTTATGTGTGATATATTGGATCATTGGTTTCATGCATAGTTTAACTTGTAAAATGCGATCTATGAGACTAGATCCAGAACATTGTTTTTGAAAACATCAAGACAGCTTCGAGTTCTTTTTGTTCATTGAGAATAAGCTTCCCTGTAAAACATTTAGATTTGTGTATTGTATGTAGTATTCTAAAATAAAGAATTAAAATCATTTTTCTGCAATTGCAAAAGAAGCTCTTTCAAAGAGAAGTTAGTGGGAGAGTTGACTTTGAGAAGAAAGAATTAGTTTCTAGAAAACTATTATCTTCAACTTACCTATTGCATTTTATTTTTCCTGTAAAAAAGGCATTTAATAAGAAGTGCCTAAAAGTTATATTGAGGCCATGATAGGTCAAAATTTTGTTGAGTTGCTTTCGAGTAAACATGTCAATCAACAAAGGCAGTTCCTATAAATATTGTTTCTATGGTTATTCAGATTATTAAGGTTGATTACGTGTTAACGTGCAGGTTCTTGACCTCAGTGTGGATCTAAGTGCTGCCAGTGCTGCTGAAGAATGAGAAGTTGCATGGGGTGTGCTTGCACGTACCTGTGCTTCCTTCTTGCCAAATTCAGTAAAACATCACATATTTCTGTGTGATTTACCTAATCAAAAAGCGCTTGGATTTGACTTGATTTTCTCTTTTAATCATATATATTATCATATCATAATGTAATAAAAAATGGTCTTCGAATGCTGCTTGTTTGTTAACTTTTAAGTGTAGTATTTGGAAATGCATATGCATGCACATTGTTACCATGTAGGCTGGCTAGGGCATGCGTCATTCCACCATGACAGGAACTAGAAATTCAAAATAATATCTAAGCTGAAGGAATCTGAGCCAGCACTCTCTTGAGAGGAATGTCTTAAGGGTTTTGGGTTGCAATACCTGCCCTGTTTGGATGTTTGGCTTAGAAGTAGTAGTGGGTGTTAAGTGTGTTACTGTTCCTCTAGTCTGGTTTGCCAAGTGTTTAAAAAATTAATAGTTTGAAAGATAGTGGACTTTAAGCTTTTAAATTAGGAAATTTGTGTTTCGCACTCCAAGAAAATCTTCTTGTACTCTCTTATAATAACAAGAAGATACAAAAAAAAATAAAAATAAAAATAAAATTAGTAGAGTAAATTTTGAGGCTCATTTTGGAATGCAAGTATTGCCTCAGGAATTTATTTGTCGCATTGCTTTTTTGAGGTCATTTGGCATGACATGCTGCAAGTAATGGATGGTGGATGGGAATTCAACGCCTAGATGCAACCTAAAAAGTTGTATAAAAATTTTTGGTTGATGAGAATTTTTTTTTTTTTAATGAAAATTAAGTCTTAGAAGGGTCTGTTTTGGGAGAACCGTCTTGAGTTTAAAAAAGGCACGTGTTTTGAGTTTTTGAGAAGATTGACAAACTAAGCAAGACATTGCTCCATACCAAAATTCCACCATGTGAAATGGGAATTATGCTCCGTCTGGAACTAGGTAATGGAAAATTGAAAGGGTAAGTTTTAAATTGAAGGAGCCTTTTCCTTTGTGTTGAGGAATTCTAGTTTTCGAGTTCAGCTTTTTTGTTGTATCACCAGCAAAAAATAGATTTGGTCCGAAAGGAACATGATATTGCATGATTTGATTACTAAACTCATCCATAGTTTAAATTGGTTTTTGGTAGACAAAAATGTAAGAAAATGAGAAGAGAATACTTTTGCTTTCTTTCCTCCCATACTGGGAAGAAATTTTTTGGGACATAAGTTCTATCTCCTCCATGCTTTTGTTTGCCGTTTCCCTTTACCAAAAGAAAAGAAAAGAAAAGAAAAGCCTCCGACCCCTCATTTTTCATTTAATTTTTTTCTTGGGTTTTTTTTTTTTTTTTTTTTTTTTTTTTTTTTTTTTTTTTTTTTTTTTTAAGTTCCATGAATTTGCTTTTTTACTTGCCCATTTGTTGGATTACTAGTTATTTGTATATTCATGCTCTAGAAAATTTCTTTTCAGTTTTTAAATTCTAAAAAAAGAAAATTACATCGCCATTAACAATTATCTTAAAAATGTACTCCATTTTAAACAATTGTGACTGAAAAAATCAAATGAGGTGTTTTCTTTGGAGAAGTGCCGCTCTCATGCTCTACATGCAAATAGGCACTCTGAGAGCAAATCCTTTCATAATTTGCGGATTCAATTTGACCAATTCACAAATTCAATTTGTGAATTATTGAATTCACAACAAATTCTTATTCATTCAATTATAGACAATTACATGTGACATTTATTATAAAAGACAATTGCTAAAATATACCTAATACTGAATAAAAACGACCTACGTAAAAAGAATAAAAAGTTCTATGTCATATTATTGTTTGCTTTATTATGATCACTTATTAGTTAAATATATTAAATATTTATGTACAATGTATAGACACATATATATTTGTAAACAAATTATACATATATTTTTATTTTTAATGTATTTTTATGTAAGACATTTATTATTTTATAATTCTTAAAAGTATTTATTTCATCATGTATGAAATTTTAAACAATATTTCTTTAAGAATCGAGAATAAATATATAGATTCGAGGTTTCATTTCTTTAAAATTAAAAAATATGCTACAATTTTTGTATTTTAATTATTACTAATATTATGCATCTCCTAACATAAAAGAAATAAGCTTATTAATAGCTCAAACACATTTTATAGTGCTTATAAATTGTATTTTTATTCTTTCACAAATTACATAATGACCTTTTATTATATGTAAAAATATTGAAAACATTTTATACACATAATAGCATTGAAGTGTACATCACTCTAAAGGTGCTTCCACCGTGACCAAATTTAAATTTTGCTACTTTCACACGCTCTTAAATTTTACTCTTGCACCTGCGAAAAGACTTAAATTTTATCCTTAATTTATTTTTAAAAGTAATATTACACAAATAAATAGACTAGTAAAAATTTGAATCTCAACCTTCAAATTTTGGAAAACAAATAAGATGCTGAAATTATGTTATTTATTTTTAAAAAGAAATTTGTCATGTATCAATGTAACATCATGGATTAATACCTAATTAACTTTAATAATATCCATATGAAAATTTGGAAATCTTTAAATATATATTTTTTATTTTTAAAAATGTAAAAATCTAAGTGCTGACGTGGCAATATCCTCACATCCCAAATCCCGTGTTAAGAAAGAGGCATCATCATTTTGGTACCATCTAATTTGCAGAGCGATGGTGTCAACCAACGTTCTCAAAGGTGGTGGCGCGCTCCTCCTTTCCCGCTGCAGTCGTGGCGCCGGTGGTGGTTCCGGTGGCCATCGTCCGCCGCTTCCTGCCTCCTTTCTCTCTTGTTATTCCCGCGTAAAGGCAGTTAACTGGAATGGGGTTGGGATTTCGATGGTACTCTCGCTTTCGCATTCCCCTTCTTTGCCAAGAAGAGTGTTTTGTACGACCTCTCAGAATGTTGCAGTTGATTCTTCATCTGTCCCAGAAACGTCGTCGTCTTCATCTTCTAGTGTTGGTGATGGTGATGATATAGGAATGATTAAGGATGCGGCGAACAGTCTGGACATTAGGGTTGGACACATTCTCAAAGCCTGGAGACATCCGGAAGCTGATTCCCTCTACGTCGAAGAGGTGGATGTGGGTGAGCCCCAACCCAGAATCATCTGCAGTGGCCTTGTCAATTATATCCCTCTTGACCATCTCCAGGTGCGTGTGTATATATATATATATGTAATTTTGTATTGCAGAACTTCTTTTAAATATATCTGTGGCTTTTAATCGTTATGGGTTTCAAATTTTGAGATTTTGTGTATTTTCTTTGGGTAAAATGTATCTGCAAACTATATGTTATTCGATTCGCATTATCTGCTTGGTATGATTAATTTATGTGAAAACTGGTCCTTTCATGGTGGAAATGTGTCTCTTGGTTATAGTGATAGAATCATAGAATGGACTGATTTGTCATATGCTTTGTAGGATTGTAAATGTGGATAGCGACACAAATTATTAAAATATTCTAAAATATGGTGCCACTACGCAGTGCAGGATTTAACACTGTTTAATGAAATTTCACCCTTTTGTGGAGAAATTGCCTATCTTCTTTGAAGACAAACATTTGCACCTTGAACTAGCCTGTTATACAGTGGACTACTTTACATCGAGTGAAGCTGAAGTCTTGTTAAAGTATGATTATCATTGTAGTCTGATCTTATCACACCAGGGTATCATGTGTGCAAGGTGAAACACAGTATTTGGATCTTGTTGGCTTGTTTTTGTCTCTCTGTTCAATCTTGATGATATAAGTCACTTATGCTTATTGTTATCCCTAGATAGTTTTAGTTTTGTTTAGCCTTGTTAAGGAAAAAGATGCAAATTGACCTATTCTTTTCCCATCATAACCCTTACATGTATATGCGCATAAATATATATTCCCTCTGTCCCAAAATAAGTGTCCATCTTTCCATTTTTATCCGTCCCAAAATAAGTGTCCCATTCGAAAAGTCAATGTACTGTCTTTGTAATCTTACCAATGTATTCTTCTTACATTGAACCTATAAAAAGTAAACCATCGCATCATTGTGGACCCACTATCTGTTTGGTATGATTAATTTATGTGAAAACTGGTCCTTTCATGGTGGAAATGTGTCTCTTGGTTATAGTGATAGAATCATAGAATGGACTGATTTGTCATATGCTTTGTAGGATTGTAAATGTGGCTAGCGACACAAATTATTAAAATATTCTAAAATATGGTGCCACTACGCAGTGCAGGATTTAACACTGTTTAATGAAATTTCACCCTTTTGTGGAGAAATTGCCTATCTTCTTTGAAGACAAACATTTGCACCTTGAACTAGCCTGTTATACAGTGGACTACTTTACATCGAGTGAAGCTGAAGTCTTGTTAAAGTATGATTATCATTGTAGTCTGATCTTATCACACCAGGGTATCATGTGTGCAAGGTGAAACACAGTATTTGGATCTTGTTGGCTTGTTTTTGTCTCTCTGTTCAATCTTGATGATATAAGTCACTTATGCTTATTGTTATCCCTAGATAGTTTTAGTTTTGTTTAGCCTTGTTAAGGAAAACGATGCAAATTGACCTATTCTTTTCCCATCATAACCCTTACATGTATATGCGCATAAATATATATTCCCTCTGTCCCAAAATAAGTGTCCATCTTTCCATTTTTATCCGTCCCAAAATAAGTGTCCCATTCGAAAAGTCAATGTACTGTCTTTGTAATCTTACCAATGTATTCTTCTTACATTGAACCTATAAAAAGTAAACCATCGCATCATTGTGGACCCACTATCTGTTTGGTATGATTAATTTATGTGAAAACTGGTCCTTTCATGGTGGAAATGTGTCTCTTGGTTATAGTGATAGAATCATAGAATGGACTGATTTGTCATATGCTTTGTAGGATTGTAAATGTGGCTAGCGACACAAATTATTAAAATATTCTAAAATATGGTGCCACTACGCAGTGCAGGATTTAACACTGTTTAATGAAATTTCACCCTTTTGTGGAGAAATTGCCTATCTTCTTTGAAGACAAACATTTGCACCTTGAACTAGCCTGTTATACAGTGGACTACTTTACATCGAGTGAAGCTGAAGTCTTGTTAAAGTATGATTATCATTGTAGTCTGATCTTATCACACCAGGGTATCATGTGTGCAAGGTGAAACACAGTATTTGGATCTTGTTGGCTTGTTTTTGTCTCTCTGTTCAATCTTGATGATATAAGTCACTTATGCTTATTGTTATCCCTAGATAGTTTTAGTTTTGTTTAGCCTTGTTAAGGAAAACGATGCAAATTGACCTATTCTTTTCCCATCATAACCCTTACATGTATATGCGCATAAATATATATTCCCTCTGTCCCAAAATAAGTGTCCATCTTTCCATTTTTATCCGTCCCAAAATAAGTGTCCCATTCGAAAAGTCAATGTACTGTCTTTGTAATCTTACCAATGTATTCTTCTTACATTGAACCTATAAAAAGTAAACCATCGCATCATTGTGGACCCACTAGGGGTAAATTTGGTAATTCATTCACTACTAATACAATTTTTTTTGCACAATAATATTATTTGTTTCATTATTTTTTTCTAATAATTCCAATTGAAAAAGTTCATTGACTTGTTATTCATCAAGCCTTGATTTCCTTTCCTTCATGTGAAATCCTGGTTCTTCCATTGGTAAGGAAGGTACATGAAGATTTTGTCAGAGGGATGAGATGGAATAGGAGAGGAGCCATCATAATAATGTGTACGAAAATATATGCACTTTGCACATACTTATAGGCACATATACAGACAAATTTGTGTCATTTCCTTGCCATGTTTGTGACTTATTTCAAAGTACCATGTCAATGTGTTCGCGTCATGTTGAGTTTTCTTCCACCATATCTTGATGTGATAATCAAGAGTATGTTGGCTATTGGTGTGAGTTCTTTTCTCATTTTTGTTGGATTTTAACCCCTAGATTTGGGCCTAAACTCTTATCAATTTCTCAGAGCTCAAATCTTATGTGCTTTGTTACATGCCTTGCATCACAACAGACAAACGGTGTTTTTTTTTTTTTTGGATTGCTTTACTCATGTCATTTGACTAACTTGTTTGGAAAAGTTTATTATAGTTTGTTTCCTCCTAACCAAACCCTTGGGATTCCTCAAGGCGCACCAACTTGAGGATGGCCTTTTTCAATTGGGGGAGTATGATGTAGATCATGTGTCATAGCTGTACTAGAATTCAGTGTATGGTAACAAAGCTTTCCTTTTTCATGCATCCCTTAATGTGGATCATCACGCCTCATGAAGAGTCAAATTATATCTGTACACTGGATCATATTTTTTATTCATTTTTATTATTATAGAAAAACAATAATAAGTATACATGTGCATTGGATCATAACCAATTACTGAACACTGGATGAGGTCTTTCATGTCTATACTCCATGGTTGTACGGGTGAAAGTTAGGCAAGGGCTCTTTTACACTAGAAGCAGGGGCAAAGCCAGTATATGCCCGGCTAATATAGTAAATTTTGATTTTTTTTTTTTTACATATATTTATGAAAAAATTGTATATAATGCCCCCCCTAAAATTTTTATTTTCTAAAATTATCTCTTAACTATTTATTTATTTTCTCTTTTTATTTTCTAAATTCGTTTAATTTCTTTTACTCTCTTAACTTTTTATTTTCTTTAAATTTCCCTTTTGAATCAAACTTTAATTTTTTCCTTTCAAAGTTCTCTCATTTTTCTTTCCTATTTATCTATCTTATATTACTCATTGATTGACATATTATTTTGTAGTAAATTTTTTTCTTCTTTCCCTAATGATTTGAAGAATCTGTAATTTCATATTCATTGAATTTTTTTTCTTTTTACATTGTGCCCCCCCCTGAATTGAATTTCTGGCTCCGCCCCTACCTAGAAGGCAAACTGTAAGCCTCATTTCAATATAAATTAATCTCTCGATTTTTTTTTTTTGGTTATAAATAATTAAAATGTTTAGACAATTTAAAAACATACTAGAGTAATCTGGCTTTTCTTCCCATCCTAAAGTTGTTAGCAATTTGCTACTTGCACATTGGTAGCAACCATTATGTCACATCGACTATGTAGATTATAGAGTCATACGAGAAAGATGTGGATTTCAAAGCTAAGATTGAGAAATTTAAGGAACATATAGTGTACAGTCGTACAAAATTTAGCTTGAAAAATGGATTGTTATATAAGGGTGCACAATTTATGTGCCTAAGAAGCTAGGGAATTGGGTGATTTAGAAGGCTCATTTATGCGTTTGTTGAGCACGTTGGAGTTCGGAAGAGATTGTTGAACCTCTTTATTATCCAAAGGTCTAACCTCTTTATTATCCAAAGGTCTAGCAGGACATGGCTCCTTTCATTTATAGTTGTGTTTTGCGTTGTACATGAAACCATTTAATCTGATTAACAATTCCTAGCAGACCGTGGGAGAGTATGCTGATGCGATATTTTAGAGGATTATGGAAGACGAAGTCTGGATTTTATTATGTTATGACAAATGCAATGAACTCAAGATAAAACCAAGAATCACGACAGAAAAGTAAACACACCAAACAAAGAACACAAAGATTTATATGTGGTTTGGCAACAACCTACGTCCACGGTTGGGATCTGGCGAAAGTTTTCACTATGTGTAAAATCGGAGATTATAAGTTTCAGCCCCTCACTCTGTTTCTGTACGAATTTCAGAGTTTCCCTCTCCCCCACTCCAAACCCTAAGCGTCCTTATTGGGCTACAAGAGACTAATTAGGGTCCACGGCCCATGAGCAAAAAGGGGGTCAAAAATTTTCCATCAGGACATGGTTCCTTTCATTTATAGTTGTGTTTTACGTTGTACATGAAACCATTTAATCTGATTAACAATTCCTAGCAGACTGCGGGAGAGTATGCTGATGCGATATTTTAGAGGATTATGGAAGATGAAGTCTGGATTTTATTATGTTATGACAAATGCAATGAACTCAAGATAAAACTAAGAATCATGACAGAAAAGTAAACACCCCAAAAAAAGAACACAAAGATTTATATGAGGTTCGGCAACAACCTACGTCCACGGTTGGGATCCGGCGAAAGTTTTCACTATGTGTAAAATCGGAGATTATAAGTTTCAGCCCCTCACTCTGTTTCTGTACGAATTTCAGAGTTTCCCTCTCCCCCACTCCAAACCCTAAGCGTCCTTATTGGGCTACAAGAGACTAATTAGGGTCCACGGCCCATGAGCAAAAAAGGGGTCAAAATTTTTCCATCCAACAGTTCGTCGGGTCGCAACGCTACCCGGCACCATATTTGGGCGACAACATCACAGATTATTCGGATGAGGTAGTGGTTTGCTTCAACAAGATGATTCTTCTCATAACACTAGTGGAGATGCTTTGGGTAATACACAGTTTGAGATAGTCAAAACTAAGGATAATAAGTCGGTCGGGCTCAACCTGACACCGACTTGAATTTTGATTGGGTTTGTACAGATTTTCTTAAACCTCGGGTCAGGCGTGGGCCAAAAAACCTCAGACTGACCTAAACTGGGCTATGCTTAGGCAGAGGTCTTAGGCAACTCAATCTAACATGAGCTTGATACCGTATATATATCTATATTAAATATAAAATGGCAAATTTTATTTTCCATCATTGGGATGATTTAAGAAAAATAAAATAAAAAATTTGGTGCAATTTAAATATATATATGCTTCCACATAGATTGTCACCGCCTTTAACATATGAACTCTGGATTATTTAGATGGAGAGAATGATTGTATGTTTTAAAAGTAGTCTCACGTATGAATCATATGTCAGATCAAATCATATGTGAGATGGAGTGACTTTTTTGGCTTCCTTGTGGACTCCTCTTACAAAGGAGTTTGAGGATGTTTCTCAAAGAGAGATGATCATGAGTTCTTACTGTAAGTCTAAGCTCTTAATTGTATGGAAACCATCTCCTATCGGGTGGTTGGATCTAATTTTGATTATTGTTCAGTTGGAAATCTAGGCAAATTGGAGATGGCATTTGCAGGGATCGTGACAGAGTAGTTAACTTAATCTATTTGAAGCCAACTGGTCAAGAAGATCTCATTTACGCAAAGTTCTTGCATCTTATTTATGCTTAAAGTTCTTTAACAGAGCATCTCTTTTGAAGTGAGCCATCTCTTGGTGGAGGGATCATTATTATTACAGGCTGAGCAAAGAAGAAAGAAAGGGATCCTTGCCGTTATGATTACTTGATCGGGTGAGTTTGAAATGTTGCCTGCCATGTGTGTTTACTTTGCTTGGATCTGTAGGTTAAGCAATGGGGAAGTGAACTTCTTGGCTAAGAGGGTCCTGGATCCCTTGAGTGTGTTAGATCATCTTTACATCCTTGATATAGGTTCTTGGGTTGTTTTGCTTTGGGCATCAATGGCTCTTTTTCTGGAATTTTCCACGTGTGGTTGCTCAACCTGTTTACCTTTATTTATTTTTATTTTGTAAAGATTTTTTTGTTCCCTATGAGATGTTTGGATTTGAAGTTAAGTTTTGGGTTTGAGATATTGAGAAGGCTAATATTTTGTAAATCTTTAGCTGTTAACTGTTTCTAACTTGAAATCTTGAGATAATGATTCATGTGATGGTGTTGATACAAATATCAACTTGCAGGACAAGAAGGTAATCGTTCTTGCTAATTTGAAGCCAAGAAATATGCGTGGTATCAAGTCATACGGAATGCTTATGGCTGCTTCTGATGCTTCACATGAGAATGTTGAGCTTCTAGTGCCTCCTGAAGGTTCAGTTACAGGTGAAAGAGTATGGTTTGGTTCTGAAGATGAAAAAGAGAATCTACCTGAGGCTGCCTCACCTAACCAGGTAAGACTACAATGAATTCAAATTTTGACTGCTCAATGAAAACAGAAAAAATAAGAGGGCGCGTGCTAATAAACTAGAAGCTATTCAAAAAGAAAAAAAAAAAAGGCCTTGGGTTGACATATACTTATTGTTAGACAAATAACAGTACTAATGGTTATGGTTATGCAAAATTGGCGATTGTCATTTTCATTTTTATTGTCATGTAACAAAGAAATCAAGTTTAGTCCTTCTGTTATGTGTTCAACAAGTGAATGCTTTGTGTTGGGCCCTATTCCTATTTCTTTGTCAGATAGCAAAGTTTGTGTCTGTATTCTTGTAGGTATCCTAGATAAAAAACCTTTTGAGTACAGAAACTGGATATTAATATTTCCTGAGATTTTTTGGTATCATTGTCTCAATTTACTTATTTTTTTTTTTCTGCATCAAATTAAATTGATACATTCCTATATGAAGTTTGATTACATATGGAAGCCCCTGTATCACTATCAGACATTTGACTTTGAGTTTACTATGCATGCTTATGAAACTTGTTATTTATTCTTCTACATAATTCTCATGCTACTCATCTGAGTAGCTGCTTTATTTGTTGATTTAAATACCTAGAATTAGTACTCGAAGCTAATGATGAGATGTGGCATGCTGGATTGAAATAAGCTGGTGAACTTTGTTAACATATAATGCCACCTTTTCTATTGTTGCCTTCCTTGATATGACTCCATTAGGCCTTGTTATATAGTTGGTCTATCCCTAAATCACTGATTAAAGAAAAGGTTGATTCCACTTTCCCAAATATCATCCTCAAACTTTAAAGATGCTTTTAAATAACTACGAAAACATTGGATTACTATGTGTGAAATTTCCCTGAATATCAAACTTATTACGTACTACTTACTACTTAGTACAACAACAATAAGAAAGCCTTTTTTCCCAACTTCTTGGGGTCGGCTGCATGAATCCTATGTTTCCGTTCCCCTCTATCTAAGGCCATAGCCTCAGTCAAACCACATGCTATCATATCCTTCTTTACTAACCCTACCTATGTTAACTTTGGTCTTCCTCTTCCCCTAGTATTACGCTATTACCATCAATGTTGATTATGTCACTCTTCTTAACTCGTGCATTTAAAGGTCTTCCTTGCACATGTCCAAACCATCTTAACCGATTTTCTCATTTTATCTCCAATTTTGGCTACTCCAACCATCTCCCGAATGTGGTCATTTCTAATTCTATCCTTTATAGTCTTACCACAAACCCATCTCAACATTCTCATTTCCGCTACACTCACTTAATGCATATGTTGTTTCCTTGATTCTATGATTAACTTCATCTGCAGTTTCTCTTCATTATGAATAATTGAACCTAAGTAACAAAAATGTTCACTTCTCTTGTACCCCTTGATTCTCAATCCCCACTACATCCTCATTTGTATTTCTAGATTTACTGAAGTTACACCTCATGTATTCAATCTTACTTCTACTTATATGAAACCTTTTAATTCTAAAGCTTCTCTCCAAACGTCCAATTTGGCATTAACTCCTCTAGTCTCAACGGCTAAAACAATATCATCTGCTAATAGCATACACCATGAATCTCATCTTTGATGTGTCTTGTCAGAAGGCAAAAAGGTACGAGCTTAATGTTGACCCTTCACGTAATCCTACAGTGATCGAGAATTCACTTGTTTTCCCTAAGGTGTTCTAACTACCATTATACATTTCCTTTATCGTGTCAATATATCCCTTCATGACTCCTTTCTTTTCTAAAACCCTCCATGTTAGATCTCTAGGTACCATATCATAGGCTTTCTTGAAATTATTAAAACCCATTTGTAGATTTCTCTTCTTCTCTCTATATCTTTCGTTTAGTCTCCTAAATAAGTAATCAACTTATGCAAATGTTGATTTTTGTCAACTAAAGGTTCTGTCTCATAAGAATCTGGCTTACAGTTTTGTGTAGATTTATTTAGTTGTTCTGCCTGTGATAAAAAAGGCCTAAATTTGATGAAAATATTAGGGGAATAAAACTGGTCTCAAATAATTTATGTTTTATTTCGCGATGTATTAGACGTTTTGGTCATCCTATTGCCCTGCTTGGTTAATTGGTCTTCTGTTTGATAATTTGCAGATTCAGAAGAAAAAGATCTGGGAATTGGTGCAGCCTCATCTAAAAACAGATGATTCTTGTGCTGCTGCACTTAACATGCATTTCATGCGAACATCTGCAGGTGTGGTGGTATCCGGATCCTTGAAGAATGCAAATATATCGTGATCAAACTGAACTTCATGCTATTTTTGCGACTTTGTACCTCGTCAGACAAAATTCTCTTCTTTTTATCTCCAATTGACATCATGTCTAACTTTCTATTAGTGCATTAATTTCTTATTCTATCTTTTCTTAATATTGTCACCTTGATTTCAACATTTTTAGCTACGGTTTTCTAAACATGTGTGATTAAGATAACCGATTTTATCGATGACTTTTCAAGTTTTCTTATAAATTTGTGTATTCTACAATCACCTAGCACTTCATTAGAACAGCTTTATTTAGTCTTCCTCATTCTCTCATTGTGGATTATTTATCCATTGGATCTCTTACCTATCCAATTTCACAAACAGCCATTATCTAGTTTGGCGCTCATTTAATTGGGGGTCTTGGGAGGGAAAAGATATTTAATGTGCCCGGTGCACTAGGCACATCACAGCTGTTTGTGTCGTACACGCGGATATGGACAGTTGAATATCTTCTCGTTGGGAGGGGTAGATTGGGTACATTCCGACTATTAGCATTAAGTGGCTATCCTAGACTCAAACTCATATTTGGTATATTTGGTAGACTGAACTTTTATTATGGGACTGTCATTCTTTCATGTAACTGATTGAAAATACAATTGTCCCCCTACTCTTCTTAAATTAGTTATTTTTCCAGCATCCATTATTTCAATCTCAATAGTAGCTGTGAATTTGACGTCCACATGTATTCTTATAGATTCCTCAAATTGGCAACTGTCTTCTTAGTCTTAAAATCACGTAAAGCATATTAGGCAGCAAACTACTTTCACCAAAATACTTTCAGACTACCCTTTTAGATCTTACGACATTCCTAGCTTACAAACCACTAAATTTAGAGGTGTGGCTTCCAAAACATGTGCAGACTCAACCAAAGGCACTAATAGATGTGATTGGAGTAGTCTCACAGAGGAAGAGGATAGAAGCCACTTGTGATTTCATTCGTAATTTTACTCAGTTTGTTTTGACGTAAAATATTTTTAAATTTTTTTTTTTTTTTTTTCAGGTAATATATATATATATATATATATATATATATATATATATATATATAGTTATATTTTGATGTTTGACAAAAATTAAAGTCGAAATTGAGTTCATTGGACGAGACATGTAAAATAATTTATCAAAAATGTAAGAGTTCATTATTTTTTATCTTCGTAAAGTATTTACGATAACCAAACACTAGAAAATAAAAAAATATTTTATATCCAAACAAATGGAGCCCTAATGGTAAAGAAAATAGCTTAAGTGTAGAAACCCCATATAATATAGGTTATGTGCACAATATATCCCTCTTTTTTTAAAAGGAACATTTCATTCCATAAATTTTAAAAATGTGCAAATAAGCTCTTCTTACTTTATTCGTTTAAGTAAGATATTCTCTATCGAGAAAGCGTAACACTACTAGCCGCCCTTACCCTTACACAGCTTATTATTCCGATCTTGCTGCTCGCTTCGCTTCTGTGGTCACTGTACCTGGTGTTAAAGTCCATGCTTTAGTCAATATATATCTTAAGTAAAGAGACTCATAATAGTTTCTCTATCCATCATTCGAAGACCCGTGATCCAACCCATGACCACTTTTTGACAAAAAGTAAATATGAAATTCCGATTTTACCCTTTTTATTCCTATTTTGCCCATAACAGAATGTGCATACCCCACCATCTCCATAACTTATGATTTTCCTTTTTTATTTTCTGTGGCATTATATATTTTATTTGTTTGTGTCAAAAATTTTATTCATTTTTTCCAAACGTGCCATCATCTTCAAGCTCAAGAAGTCATTATTACCCATATACGAGGCCAGTGAAAGAATATTACTATAAATGTTATATTTTTCATAGAAAAGAGATGTTAGAAAAGAAATCCTACCATTTAAACTAGTATTTATTATTGAAAACGATGATAAAAGTGATTTATATATTAATCTGGTTACGAAGATACAAGATTTCGTTTCTTCTCTCTCTCTCTCTCTCTCTAGCCTCTCCCCACTTTCCACTCGTCATGGTCTATTTATAGGCCATGACTTTTTTTGCAGTTAACCAATTACATTGGGCTTATATCCAAAAGCTCTTTTCCTTCTGGGCTGGGTCTTGCAATGGGCTTGACCTTCCTCGGTGGACCCCCCACGTTGGGCCCATTCCAGGGTGCTTTGGCATGGATCCTACTTCAATCATTCGACCTGATCTCGTTTCCGCGATCCATATCCGGCCCATGCCACTTGCCGCATCCTCAACTGTCCCCATAATTACCCCTTATTGATTAGGGGGTAATTATTAGAGGCTGCTAATGATGACCTGACGGCTCGAGGAGATCGTGTGGGAGAATGGACGGTTAGATCTAGGGGTCGGCGCTTCGAGATTCAAAAAGACAACCTATCGCTTTCCTGACTCCTCGGCTCTTGGGCTCATCTCGTCTTTATAAGCTCCATTGATTATCTATCGATCCTCTTTACCGTCTCCATATCACCTTTTGCTGCTTGAATCCTCTCCGACGATCTCTTGCGAAAGATCTTCCTTCCAGTGGCTTTGCAATACTCTCTGCCGTTTTCACTCTCTAAGGTTAGTTTCATTTGCATTTTTCTTTTGGAAGACTTCTTTCTTCTCCCCGGAATCCTCATCCACTCTCACCATGACAGTAGATCTAGACGTTCTTCGTATGAAACTTCAACTTCCTGACGATGTAGAAATTAGAAACTGCCCCCGGGAAGTGAATATTAGAACCGGTGCTGGCCTTCTTCCCGGCGAGGCCTTGTTTTCACTTCTCCACCTCAATCTCTTTAGATTTCCTTTACATCCTTTCTTTTGCTATGTTTTTAACAAGCTTAATCTTTCCCCTTTACAAGTAAACCCCAACTTCCTTAGGATTTTATCCGTTATGCTACTCCTTATTCGTGACAGAGGTCTGGATCTGGACCTCGTAGATCTCCTCCTCTGTCACAAGGTCAGCAAGATCAGAACTGACGAACCGTTTTACCACTTTTTCCCCATTGAGAAGAGGTCTATCTGCACGGATAAGATCAAATCTGAGAAAGGTTGGAGGAAAAACATTATTGGGGTTAGGGGAGCCTGGTTCTCTCCAGCTGCGGAGGATTTCCCTATCCCGAGCGCTTTTGGAGAGTGCTCTGTCTCTTTTTACAAGAAATATAAAAACCATAAGAGTGACAATCCTTGCGAGATTTGCATTCCTCGTTTTTGTTCTTTCTTGTGCCATTCCTTAGGCATTCCTTGTGATGACTTGAGCTACAGTGTGTGCAGGGATAGGGATAACTACTTGAAGCGGTACGTTCTGACCAACGTTCCCTCTTGCTCGGACCTTCTCACCTCAGATAATCTCCTCGACATCTCAGTCCTCGGCAAGACAATGAGCCAACTCCAGATCCCTTCCTTCGGCAGGAAGAAAACTGCCCCCAGGCCTGTTACCACCCCTGCATCAAATTCCTCACCGGCTTCAGCATCTTCCTCCGCTACCCTTTCTGATACCACTCCTTCCACCGATCCATCCGTGACGGCTTGTAATACCCCGTAATTAATTAAAGAGTTTAGTTTATTTAAATTCAATTATGTGTGGATTCCTTTACCTATTATTGTGCATGCTACATTGTTATATTAAGTTCATTTAATGGTGCATGTACATTAATTATGTATGTTAAAATAGTAAATTTATTCATTTAATTATGCATGTATTATTATTAATAATTTTATTTGTTGGTTATGCTTATATTAATCATTATTAGTTAATTAAAATATTATATTTGTGTTATAAAGTATTATAATGATATAATGTATTCTTATGTAATAATAATAATAATAATAATAATAATAATAGTTTAATAATATAATAATAATAATAATATAATAATAATAATTATAAAATTTTATTAATAATAATAATAGTTATAATAATAATAATAGTATTAAATCAATGTAATGGTGGAAAATTAAATATTAGGATAGAATTTCATTTACTATGGTAGAATAGTGGATCAAATATCTTGATTAAGATTGCATTGTCTTAAAGCCATATAGGTGGGAATGTTGAAAGTTAATGTTTAAGTTAGATATTTGTATTATATATATTATATAAATTAGTATATATTAGTTAGTTAGTTACAATTTGAAAGAAACTCACGTAAGTAGAAGAGCAAAATTCTAGTGAGCCATTGTAAAAGTGTGGAAAGGAAGAGAGAGAAAGAAAGGAGCTTGGACCGGTGTAGGGAATTTACCCGACTACGCGCAACCGGCGGATTTATTTTAAATCCAGAAAGGTAAGTTATTATCTATTTTTCCCCTTTGAATAAATAAATTAATTGCTTAGTTTATTTATATTATTTTAGAGCAAAGAGACCATGTAAGGAGTTTAATAAATTAGGAATTTTAGTTTATTAAATTTGTGAAATTTTAATTATATAGGATGGTATATATTTATTTAATGTCCTATGAAAATAATAATGGCTAAAAATAATTAAATAAGGCTTTAAGGATTTTTCTAGAATTTTCTAGAATTTTTCGGGAGTTTTCTGTAATTTCCGGCGAGACTCTGGCGAGTTTTCCGGCCACCGGCAGTGAGGAAGGTGACCGGAGTTATCTGGTGTGTTGCGGTGTATTGTAACAAGCATGCGCATGGATCAGCAGCCGTTAGATGGGTTGTGAATCCTTAGATTGATTCGGTGTAGCGCGGGACACCATATGATGGTGCGCGCTAATCATCAGCCGTAGGATGAAAGGAGCATAGGTGGATTGATCCGGTGTGGCGCGCATGTAGGAAAGGTGATGCAGCCAACCAACCGGAGGACGCCACGTCAGCAGGAAGCCATCAACGCGCGCGTGGGACTCTCCAGACGCGCGTGGGAGAGCGTGCGCGCGCGTGGCTGATGCCAGACGCGCGTGGGAGAGTGGGAAAGCTTGGCGGCGCGTGTGAGGAGCTCTGGGAGGCGCGTGGGGGCGCGTGAAGAGCCTCTGCAGCTGCTGGAAAAGTCCAGAATACCCTTAGGGACTGTTTTGTCATTACCAGGACCTTCACTATACATTTTGGGGCCTCGGGTTGGCATTTTTAGAATTAACGGGACATTATATTATTATTTTATTTCTCGTTAACTATTATAATTGTCCGATTAATATTTCTAAATATTAATTGTATCAGTTAAAGTGCGAATCGCTAGTAAACATATGTAATTAATTTAACGACTATTAATGGTATTATTTTATT